ATTTGCAGGCTCATCCAGCTTATTAAATATTAATTTAATATTTATAAAGTAAAAAAATAGTGAAGAATCACGAGTTTTCTTTTTTTTTATCTTTTACGAATAGTCGTACTTAGGGTAGGGCGCTATAGAAAAAATAAAATCAAAAAGGGCGCCGCAACTAGGAAAAGTTTGGGAGCCACTGCATTAAGTGATTATTGGCAAATATCGTAATTACGTTTAGTATATAATTAGCTCTTTCAAGACTACTTCATATATAAACATCATAATTGCCACCTGGCGAATAATTTCCCTTATTTATCTCACAACAAAAATACCTAGACATTTACGTATAATTCTGCCTCCGAAAATCTTTTGTGGTATTCTACTGCTGTTTTATTTGGTTACGTCAGTTGAAATCTGATCTACATGAGGTCGCCGACTTGCGTCTTGGCCTGCCATTAGTCAGCCAACGGGGGCTCGTGTGGTATGGTCTACTGCACAGGATAGCTGAACTCCTGCTTGATGGGCTGGCTGGTGTATCGATATGTTCAGATGAGGGCCGCGCACGCATGCTTCTTGATGTGCAGACCATCGCCCAATTTGGTGAGATGGCCAGTGGTATCAAGTGAGTCGGCAGACCGATTTCCCTGTCACTTAAATATTGAGCTACACTTCCCTTATCAGGCTTGCCTTTATGAATAGCGTCTTTTTTGTTACAATATCGACTCCAAAATTAGCCGAGACTATCTCTTAGTCTCAAAGTGAACAGATTTTTGGTGTTTCTAACTCTAGCGATGAGCTGATCTAATGACGAGACCTAAGTTTCACCTAAACTAATATCGTTCACGAAACATATATTTTACTTTATCCCATTGCAGGTATTTCGGTCTTTTGGTATTGATACACCTTCACTTTAACTAATAAGGCCTGAACTTGATCACAATTTTCTCCATTTCCATCCTACTAATATGAACAAGATACCATTTATAAGCAAGGAATAGGACCACTTTAGGTCTACGAGTAGACGGCCTGGCAATTAAATCTAATTTAACTCATTCCATTGTCTGATATTCAACTATCAGGCCTTCCAGCACACCTAGAGCGACATAAGCCAAACCTCAATTCTGAGTATAGTTTAGAAATCTGCTCGCTATCCATAGGCCATTATAAACTACCCTTATCTTTCAAATCTAATCTGCGCAAGTAGACAATTATAGTGTATACGAAAATATGTATTATTCATTTGCTTACTTCTTTATAAGAAGTCGTCCGTCTATTGTGTTTTACTTCCGACTCATCTTTATCTGCTCTTCATTTGCATTACACTCCTATTATTCTCTTCAATAGGCCCTTCCCAAACCTGGTTCTCATAACTGACTTCGTGCAGGCTTACTATGTTCCCGTTGCTGCCTGGGATTCATGGCTGCTCAGCAATTCCCTTCGGTACACACGCACTCAGCTTGTCGGACTGGCTGGTTGTCTTTCGCGTGGAGACCGCCGGCTTCGACAGCGCCTCATCGTCAGTGTCGACGCCCTACAGACAGGATCTAATACCTTAAGTGGTTCAGGCATTCCTGGCCCTTCAGTACCTGGTATAAGCTGATGATTGCCCAACTTCGACTCCCTGAAATCGTCAACTGATCTCTGCTTATTTTAGCCAGAGTATCTCGAGTTTCCGTTAGTCTGTGTGAACACGTACATGCTTATATTGAGTTTAGCTAATTAACTATATGGACCTACCAATGTATAAACATTAATGTGGACATTCCGAGATTGTCTTCAAGTGGCAGACGACGTGACCCGTGGCTGCGTCTTTTTTTTACTATTCTATCACTGCTAGGAAGAATAGAGTCAACCGAGAGTGTGATTCAAACCTCAAGGCATGGGACTAAATGCGTTTTGTCAGCTTGGATGTGATAGCCTTTTGGATTAATTCTTTCACTTAATACTTTGGGCTTACTTCTTTTATTTGTTATCTCATTTCCATCGTAAAAAACTTAAATGTGCCGAAGCGAGCCAGCCCCGCATGATGGATATTCTTATTTGGTGGATTCCACTGTGTCAACACCCAATTCACATATCCCTCATAAAAATCACTGTGATTCCTAGATTGCTTTTTATATTTGTCCCCGTCATTCAAGGCCTATCAGTGATGAAGGTGAGTCGACGCTTCCTATTCCCGACTCTAAGTGAAGCCCACTAGGGCTTCAGTAATTACAATGGCGTTGTTGCTAGCCCGTAAAATTGATGACAGTATAAACATAGAATCCGCTCAATCCGGTCTTTTGGAGCACCTTTGGTCCGTTTGTTGAAAATTATATAATTCAGCTATGCTATTAACCAAATATGAGAAGGCATACAAACTACTCTTCGGACAGGAACTATGCTTGCTATTGATGTTCGAGCCATCTTTTCAAAGCTGTCCTACTATCACTATAAGAACCATAAAAGACCTGGTTTTCGCAGATTAGTGGAAGCATCAAAAAGACATCATGGAACCTACCTAGTTTTGTGCCTTCTGCCACAGTATTCGTGATGTCCAGTATCGGAAACTTGACTTGGTAACCACAAGATAGAACTAAATTTTGGATTTTTGAATGAAATGAAGAAAATCAAGGACACCTTAGTGGAGGCGATAAATACCTCTGAGAAGCTACCTGAAGAATCAAGGAGAGCTGGATTTGGAAATCTTCCGAACAATCTTGGCGCATCAGGAACCTAAGGACAGGAACAATGGTCCTAAAGGCTGAAGCGTAGGAAAGAATGTACAGAGAAAATGGGCAATATTCTCGGGGATGCTACAACTCACCGACTGTTTCCAAAAGACCCAAGAGTTAAAATCAAAAGGGCATTGCGACAAATGATGAAGGAAATGAATACGGAAGGGGAAATTGATTAATGGACAATGAATCCACACATACGGAAATACGCAAGAGCCCAGTAGCATACGGTTTGCCGAAAGAATACAAAGAATCATTGAGCCTGATAGTGAACAAGCACGGAGCAACATATTTGCTTCAAATTAGAGGCCAATGAGAGTATCGAATACAGCGAATTCTGGCAAGGAATCAAAGGCACCAGTTTGGAGGGGAATTAAATTTTGGTGAGATTGGATGTAATGTCCATATAGCTTGTCAAGAGAAAAAGCATTTAGGGTACAACTGGAGATCTTGAGAAAAGAAGACGGCCGAGGAGATGGAGCGAATCCTTAGAGTCCCTAACCGACTAATCAACCTGTCAATAAGAACTAGCTATTTCACGTTCAAAGCCGCATCTATGAGCAAATATTTGGTCTGTCTATGGGCTTATGTCAACATGGACAAGTTGTAGAATAATTTTAAAACATCACCTCAGCAGCCAATAGTAATCATGCGACATTTGGATGACTACGCGATCTTATCCTATGGAAGGAAATTAGACGATTTCATGATCTTCATAAACGAAATAGATAAAAAATTCAAATTCACCATGGCTGTGGAAGAGAACGGACACCTAATGTTTTGGGATGTGAATGTCATTCGCTCCGAGAAAGGACTGTTGCGAAAGAAATCGCATGCGGAAATAAGCCTTAACTTCCAGTCTAACCATACTTATGGAACGAAGATTGGAATAATCCGGATTACGGTCATAAGAGGCCTATGACTTACTTAATCTGAGTTCTGAGAAGAGAAACCGGAAAAACTAACTCAAATGTCCTTTGAAAGCGGACATCCAGAAGAAGCAATACAACGCAATATACAGGTGGAAGGGCCAAGGTTATGAAAGGAAAGCAAGGGAAAAAGAATAAAAGCGATATGTTTACTCTCCTGCGGATTGGCTCGGAAGCTGCGACCAATACTATAGAAATGGAATACTCGCACAATTATGAAGGAAAGGACAACCCTCTTCACCAGCCTTGCCACACAACATGAATTCAACAAAATGGAATGCTCTGGAGCTTACGGTATAAACTACAAGTACTGTGAACAAAAATATATCGGAGACAGAAAGCACAATCAGCACGAGGATCAAAGAATACTGGCGAATATGCATAAAAATAGATATGGAAAGATTGGATAGCTGAATACTGATCTTATCGGGCACACAATTGATTAAAGTACAGCGGAAAGAATAGCCCGATATGGTGAGAACAGAAAACGGAAGATCAAGGAGGCTGTGGACATCCTGTTTTAAAGAACTCTGATGAACAGATTAGTAGAGAGAAGGGTCAGCGATAATTTCGCGTGCTTCCCGGGCAA